TGTCTGTCTGTCTGTCTGTCCATCTAGCTGCCTATCTATCTATCTATCTGTCTGTCTATCTATCTATTTATCCATCTATCTACCTAGCCATGTACAAAGCATGTGGTTCACTGATGTACGTATCGGCTTGGGCTTTCGGGATCAGGGTTTAGGGTTTCGACTTTCGGGTTGCGGGTTTCCGGCTCACAGTTTAGGGTTCAGGGGCCTGCGAGCAGGCCTCAGTCACACTTCCGAATGTCAGGGTTGAAGACAGGGGCCTTAATTTCAAGAGGGTTTCGGGCGAACTAGAGCGGGATTTTGGGTTGAAGGTCATTCCTAGCTTTGGGGTGTTCAGGTTTCGGGTTTCAACGATGTCCTGTTTTGTGGTTGAGGGTTTCGGGTGGTTGAGGGTGGGCGAAGGACTAAAAGAAGCACAGAAGAGAGGCTGGCGCAGCAACGTGGATCTCTCACGGCCATGGGCTTCCTGGAGACCTCGGGGATCCTCCTGCAGCACGGCCCGTTGGAGGGTGTGTGGGGATTAAGGTTTCTTCTCTGCTGAAGTGCATGCTGCTGGTGAAAAGACGGTTCGCTACATGAGATGTTGTTTTGCTGTCGGTGTTCTACTGTGCAGCTGCTGCTGCTGTCAGTGAAGATTTTGCTTGTACCACGACGACGGCCACAACAACCACTCGGCACGTCAGCGAAGACGGCGCATTGACGACGATGACGATGGCGGCGACTTGCCGTGTAGACAAGGACGACCGCAATAACAACCACCACCACCAGCAGCAGCAGCACCACCACCACCACCGCCACCACCGCCACCACCATGCACCGCCACTGCCATGCACCGCCACCGCCATGCACCGCCACCGCCATGCACCGCCACCGCCATGCACCGCCACCGCCAGTGCCACCAACGACAACAACATCATCAGCAACATCAACATCAGCATCAACATCAACAAAAACAAAAACAAAAACATAAACATAAACAACAACAACATCAACATCAGCATCAGCATCAACATCAACATCAACATCAACATCATCATCATCATCATCATCATCATCATCAACAACATCAACATGAACAACAACAACAACAACAACAACAACAACAACAACAACAACAACAACAACAGCAGCAGCAACAACAACAACAACAACTGCTCCTGCTCCTGCTCCTGCTCC